GCCGAGGCCGGCAAGCTGTGCGTCCTGTACAAAGAAGCCGAGCTGCGCCTCAAGAGCAGCTCCAACACCACCGAGTGCGTCCCGGTGCCCAGCTCCGAGCACGTGGCCGAGATCGTGGGCAGGCAAGGTGAGCGCCGCGCCGCGCCGGGCGGGACGGGGCGCGGGAGCGGGAGCGGGGAGCGCGGGCCGGGGGCGTCCGCGTGCCCATTGTCTGCGCCATGGCGCGCCCGCCGGCCAGCCGGCCGGCCAGGCAGCCAGTCCGCCCTCCAGGCGGGCGGGCAGGGCGCGCGGTCTCCGCGGCCTCGGCCTCCCGCCCTTTGTCAAGTGCCACTCCCCCCGCGCACTCCTTTCTTCCCCGCGCTCACTTCTCCCCTTCTCCTCCGGCCCTTCCTTCCTTCCTCCTTCCTCCCTTCTTTCCTCCTTCCTTCCGCCGCCCTTTCCTCGCCGCTCCTTTGTCCCGCGCCGCGCGGCTCCGCTGCTGGTCGGCGCCCGCGCGCCCCTCCCTCCTTTGTGCCTCCGCGAGTCGCTCCCGCTGCACTTGCTCCGCTGGCCCCCACCGCCCCGCGCCCCTTTCCTTCCGCCACGTATTCCAGCCCGCCGTCCCTTCCGCACCCCTTTTTCGGCGCCCCCCTTCGCCCTTCTCGCCCCGCTTGTTCCCTGGATCTCTCTTTCTCTCTCTCCCTCCGCGGACGCCTCCCGGCCTTCCAGCTTCCCTCCCTCGGGCACCTCGTTTCCCTTCTCCTCTTTCTTTAAGACTCCCCCGCCCCCCAAAAAGTTAAGACTCCGCGGGCGTCACAGAGCGCCCCGTCGTTCACGCCGCCGAGCCCGCAGCCTCCCGGGCGTCCTGCGGCGGGAGCGGGAAGGGTCCGCGGAGGTGCCCGGCCGCCAAAGTCAGGTAGCGACCCCCCCGCTTTCGCGTGTTCGTTCACTTCGGAGCCTTTCTGTGCTTTGTAAAAATAATTTGCAGGGCCATTCGCGACATTTCCCATCCCACACTTAGGATGAATAATGGCCACCGCAGGGGGTGGGAATGGGCGGTGGGTTCTTATGAATCGGCATCATTTCCTAGCATCAAGTCCATGAACACCTTTTCAGAGCGGGCTGGCGGTCCAGGCTTTTTATTAGCCATCGGAATAAATCAGATCTGCGATTTTTGCCCTCTTAACAGAGTCCAAAATAATTTTATAGGAGGGAGAATGCTAAAAAGTTGCTTTGCCTCTCACACACCCACAGTTCGACAATTGGAGATTTAAAATACCAAGTCCCCAAGTGCCTGTGAGAACACGCTTGTTACTTTTAATTGCATCTCGGCCGCTGTTCTGTGTCTCTGCTGTTGCAAATATTATATCCTGAGGAAGGGGTGCACTCGCTCTCCCAGTGGGCCAGTGCCCGAGACTGGGAGAGGCGGAGAAGCCCCCCGTTTGCTGGGCGCATCTCCGAAAGGCGGAGGGGGTGTGGCTCTGCCCGGCCCGTGTGGGCGCCGCGAGGTGCGGGCTCGGGAAGGAGGCGAGCGCCGAGTCGAGAAGGATTCAAGAACAGATTAATGAAAGTTGAACTTGTTACGGCGTCATGTGATTCGGGAGGGGGGGAATGACCCTTGGAACGGTTTGGATTTTAACATTCCTGCTTGGGCTTTCTTTACACGCACGTTTCTTTCCTGTGTGTGGATTGTTGTTGCTGTTTTGCGTAATGCTTTTGTGTCCTTGCTGCATGATGGACAGCACTGGAGGGCCTCCGGAAAGATTACGTTGCCCCGCTTGCATGTTTTCAGTCCTCTCCACAGCCTGAGATCTCAGGAGCAGCTGGGGCGAGCGTCCACATGGATGCTGGAGAGCGTTAAAGTTACCGCGGCAGAAAGGAAAGAAAGGGCTGCTGTGCCGGGTGGCCGTAGCTGCAGAAAGCACTAACTGCCCCCCCCCCCCCCAGTAGCAGCTTGGCTGCTTCGGAAATGTGGTTGCAACTCTCAGTGGATCAGTGCCCGGCACAGGGGAGCTCGATGGTGCCTTTGGGGAGGGTGGGAGGCAGGACAGTGGGGTTCAGCTTCCGAGACTGAGGATTGCTCTCGCCTTGAGGAAAAGGTGGCAGGACACAAAGTCGCAGTGATTCGCTGTTCAAATCGAAAGCATGTTATCAGAACAATGGAACTGGCAGGTCCTCCTGGAGAGGAGCCCACGGTTGTAGGCTCTGGGCCCACTGGCTGCACTCCTGCAGCACGGAGGAGGCTATTCCCCCGCCCCGTGAAAGGCGGTAACACCTTCTGAGGCTGTGCATTGGCACTGACCTGGTTATGCCCCCCCCCCCCCCGCAACCCCTTCCTCTGTCCCCAGAGTCACCGGGAGTGCATTCACAAGCTGGAAAAATGAAGGAAGAATGCTCCAAACAGCCCGGGGGGGGGGGAGCATGCAGGCCCTCACTGAGGGCACCCACCCTTGTTTTCTGTTGCCCACACTGACACATAAACACGAGCCCTGCTTTCGCTGAGCCACTCCACACTGGCGCAAGCAGAAAACTCGCAAGGTGCATTGCAGCGAAAGACGGGCCTCTCTTTGTTTAATTATGCCGGATTCTTGGGGGGGGGGGGGTGAAAGGGTAGTTGTCTTGCTTTTTGAAGAGATCTGCTTTTAAAGCCAAATCTAAAATGGAAGTGTTGCAGGGCTGCAAAACGAGGTGCTGCTGTTGTGTTCTCCAAGGTAACCCTGCTGACCCCCACTCGATAGGTGAAGGGGGGTTATCGGCGGGGTGTGCGGCAGGGTGTTTAGAAAGGTTTTGCAGAAGAGAATGGCTGCTCCTCGGCAGGAGAGATGCAGCCCCCCCGCCCCACTGGCTGGAGCCCTAATAAATACGTAGGTGCTTGTACATGAGCGCCATTCAGACCTTCTTTTTTAATTTCCCGAGGAGAACCATTTCTTCCACTCCTCAGATATTTGGCACTTGAGCAACGAGTTGGCAAGGCCTCGGATGGCAGTGTGGGAGTCTGCATCACCTGGGAAAGGTTGGATTCCCGAAGGCCAGCTCTGGAAAAGGCTCTTCCACACCCCCTCACCTCAACAAAGAAAGGGTTCTCCGGCCCGTGGTTCTCCATGGGGCCTGTGGAAAATCCAGACGGTCCATTTACCAAATATGGATAGTTTTGCTTGTCTCTCAGGCTTGAGTCAATTAATTTCTCTTGAGCTCCAGTTCTGGGGCAGGGCAAAAATGACCCCACTGGGTGGGAGCGCAAGGGCAGGAAGGGCTGAAGAGGGCGAATGCACCCAGTTGCCGTCCGCGTCATGATTCCAGGTGGTGGGGAAGGTTGTCCTTCCGCGCTGGGAGGAGCCCTCTCCTCGGCCAGCCTGTGTAAGGGCACCGAGCCAGCGCTGCACACGCACCCTTGCTGGCCAGGCCTGGGCCAGCACGGCTGCCCCAGGAAGCACTGCAGTGGCCCTCGACAAGCAGCCGTCCTGTTCTGCACCTCCGTGCTGGACAGAGACTGCAGAGGACCCAGTGAACTGGGAGTACTTTTTGTGGGGGGTGGTATGTGGAGTGGGCCATTCCGAAAAACAAAGAAGACACACGGCTTGTTCCAAATGCAGGTTTGGCTTGGATTGATCAATTCCCCATTTAAATACAAATGCCCAGTCCTCTGGTTTAAGTCCTTTCATCAGCCATCAAAGCTGGTGGGGAGGATTTGCCCGTATGAATTAATCCGCAGGGGCTGCAACAGCACCAATGCCCACCGAGTTTCCTCGGATGCCTTCACAGCACTGTGGCAAGATGCGTGGTTCCTCCGCTGCCCAGCTTGGACATGCTGGGAAGAAAGTGAGGGAGCTGCCATCCCAAAAGGCAAAACTGAAATTCAGATCCACTGACCAGACTCCCGCAAAATTGTGATGCCCCCTCCTGCGAGCTTTTGGGGAGGTATACAAGAGCACGCCTGCTTTGTGGGAAGCAGTTGTGTGGCCACGAGGCAAGCTCCATGGGAGCTGCTTTGAGAACTGCTGCCTGCCTGCCTGCCCTTGCCTTGCCTTGGTCACTGCGGGGCGCGACAATCTGGCTCTTCAAGTCATGGGATTTTTAAAAGGATGCAAAGAACTTCATATCCTGAGTACAGGCATCTGCCAAGACATCTCTATTTAATTATTAATTATTTAATTAGACATCTTGAATTCTGGTTTTATTTACTTATATATGTTGATTTGCATCCCAACAGCTTAGTGCATAAGAAAAATGTTATGTGAGAAAAAACATGAGATAAAGACAATAATTTATGCAAAACCAGATGAAATTAACCAACAACCTGATTAAAAGTACTCTTATGAAAAGCCAGCCCAAACACAATAGTTTTCTGATGCTTTAAAAAAAAATGCTTAGGCTCAGCCTAAGAACAGGGCTAAGAAGTGCTTCCATTAGGCAATCCCCCGGCCTCAAATAATTTTACTGGTGGGAAGGGTGCACGAGCACCGTGTGTCTTCCCCCCAGTTCTGACTTTTTCCCTTTCTGTCGAAACTGTTCGGGAGGGAAAGTGTGATGGGCTCTCCAGTGTCTTTTGACTGGTAGCACTGGGAGCTGTCCACCTGGGGGCACCCTCTAAAGGGGGGGCAGCCGCCACGCGTTGGTTCTCTCTGCTTGGCCTTGGTCCAGGCACAGTGGGTGCAGCGGGCGGTCTTCACGCACGTGCAGGGGGCGCGTGCAGGAGCACGGGGTGTCCAAGGGCTGTTGGGAATCGCGTCAGAGAGCAGCTGGTAAATTGCAAGTGCTGTCATGTTTGTGGATCCCTGCCTGTGGAAATCTAGTCCACAATGGGAATGGCTCCTTGCTTTCTCTTTGCCATACTGGTTTTCTATAGGCAGGGAGTCTTGACTCCCAAGCCGTGTTACTGACCTTCCCAGGCATGCAGTCACGAGAATCTCCTTACAGGATGCAACCCGGCAGCCCTCCTGGGCATGTGCCATAGGATTGTGCTGAACACACAGGTCATCCTGAAGATCCCGTAGTTGGATCCAGACTCGGGCCATGCTTGGTGCTGGCCAATTCACATCATGGAAGTGGTGACTCATGGTGCTGCTCTGGATGCTGCCGTCTACAGTTAGACTCCTCAAGAGCAAGGGCTTTTGGAGCCATTCTGAGAAGGGACTTGGGGTGCTGGAA